TCAGGAACCAGCATACGGACATAGTCATCTGGAAGCAGTCTGCCTAAGAGAGAATCTTCTTTCCCCATACTGCAGTAGCAGCTGCAATCACAAGTATCCAAGCCAGCTGTAGTCAATATATAGAATGGGAAGGGACGATGGCAAGCCCAGCCGTGCAGTACCTGGGTTTTTAAAATGCCTTCCCATCTCTGTTTCAGTGGGTTGGTTTATTTCTTTTCAATGCATGAAATACAAACCAAAGTATTTAGCTATCAATAACTGACCGTGAGCTAGGGTTTAACAATATGAAGAGCTAAAACATTTAAAATTAAGAACTGAAAGTGTAATTAAAGTAGCAAAAGCATGCCTACATCACTCTAATTTCGATAAAATAGTAAAGTAGAAATATTTCAGAACTTTAATAAAAGCTATAGCGTTTACTATTTTTAAGAAATCAGGAAAAAGTAACAATCCCCACCACCTGGCAAAATTCTAGAGTGATATTTAAGGAAATATTTCTTCATGTATACAAAGTAATACTCTCCCTGTTTAACGCGTTTGGGGGAGAGATTTTGCTGAATGTATTACAACCTATTCCTGCAAGAAAAAGGGCGAAGAAAACGCTTAGTGTGTATTCAAGCTTCTGTTGGCAGGGAGGTGAGTAAAACACTCTACTGCGTGTCTTACGTGGTACGTCAAACCACGTAACTAAATTCTGAGCAGAGATTTATACTAGTAAGTTTGCCGACTGTTGCACTGCGTACACTTACCACCCCGGTTCAGACACGGTACAGTTTTGTTTCAGTAACAGTGTTTTTTACTTGGCTAACAAAAACTATTTAGAAAAGTGGCACCTGGGGCAGTGCTTAAGGTTCTTAAGAGAATAATGACCTCACATACAAAAACACATGATGTGCTTCAGAGGGCACATGAAGAGAAAAAAAAAAACAACCAACCAAACAAAACACACCACCACACTCCTCTCGATGCACCACCAAACTGGAGGGAACTCCTGTCGTTTGGAGTCCTTTTTAAAGCCCAGTTTGTCTCCTGATGGACTGCAGCTCATCCTCCCGACTTTCCCTTCCTGACCACGACACCGTAGTCCCGGATCTCATCAAGCCGCTGTTAGACCCTGCCTCCAACGCGAACGCTGATCCTCCCTCCCAGGCGCTTG